AGCCATCAGCATAAAGGCATGCGGTTATGTCTTCTACCTTAAAAGAAAAATACAAAAAACCTCTTCAATCCAATTCCCTTGTCCACAACTGACACCCTCCCCTCCCCACCCCCACACTCACACCGTGTCTTTGATTCCCTTTGGAGTAGAACTCCACAAATGAAAAACTTATATTCTCTGTTTCCAATCCCTCTCCTTCTTTCCCCACCAAAAACACTGCTCTGAAATTGCTTTGGTCAAGGTCACCAAGAACCTCCACATTGGGAAATCCACTAGTCAGTCTCAGTCCTCAACTTATCTGACCCGCAGTAGCACTGAAAACACTATCCCACCCTGCTTCTTGTTCCACGTTGTTTGCTTCACTTCCAGGATGTCACACTTTATGGTTTGTCTTCTTTCCTCACTGACTGTTCCTCTCATCACCTTTCCTTGGCCTCCTCTCCTTTGTACCTCCTCATGGTATAGTGCCCCAAGGTGCAGACATGAGTCCTCTTCTCCTTCTTGGTATCTCAACCATCTTATATGCTTTACAATGGCTTTAAAAAGCATGCACATGTCAAAGATTCATTAAGTTATATTTCCAGGTCTATATTTCACCTGAACTCCAGGTGAGTATACAAGTAATTGATATTTACCCTTGAAGATAAAACGGATCTTTTCCAGCTTAACAGGTCCACAGCTGAACTTCTGCCCCCAAACTGCATTTCCTGCAATATTCCCTATCTAAATTGATGAAAGCTACATTCTTCTAGTTTCTTGGACTAAAGTTCTTGGAGTCATTTTGAAGCCTCTCTTTCTCAAACACTAACATCTAATCTTTCAGCAAATAGTGTAGGATACGCTTCCAACTACTTCTCTCCATACTGACTGCTACAACCTTGGTTGGAGCCACCGTCATCGCTCACCTGGGTTATTGAAGTATCATTTTCTCCCTGTGTCAACCCTTGGTCCCCTACAGTCCATTCTCAACACAGCAGCTAGAATGATTCTTCTTATTCCTAAATCAGATCAGGTCATTCCTCTGCTCAAAACTCTACCACAGCTCCCCATTTCACTCAGAAAAAAATTCAAAGGTTCTAAATGATCTGATTCTTTTTTGCTACTCATCTCCTCTTGCTCACTTTCCTAGCCATTCTTGCCTCTCCAATGTTCCTGAGGCCTTTTTTCCTAGCTCTTTGCTTTGTAATGTTCTTCTCCTAGATCAGTGGTTCTCAAAGTATGGCTCACAGACCAGCAGCATCAGCATCAGCATCACCCAGAAACTTCATGTTGTTGTTGTTATTAGGTGCCTTCGAGTCGATTCTGACTCATAGCAACCCTATAGGACAGAGTAGAACTTTTCCAAGGAGCAGGTGATGGATTTGAACTGCCGACCCTTTAGTTAGCAGTTGAGCTCTTAACCACTATGCCGCCAGGGCTTGGAACTTCATAGAAATGAAAATTATCATGCCTCACTCCAGACATACTAAATTTAAAACTTGGGGTGGGGCCCAACAATCTGTGAGTTAACAAGCCCTCTGGGGATTCTGCTGCACAAGCAAATTGAGAACTACTCCTCTAAATAGCTACATGGGTAACTTCCTCTCCTCCTTCAAGTCTTTGTTCAAATATCACCTTCTGAATGAGGCCTACTCTGACCACTATTTAAACTGCACCATTTACTCCTCCACCAGCACTCCACAATTTCCCTTACTCTGACCGCCTTTTCCCTTTTCCCATCATCTCTATCTTCCTCTGAAACACTATAACATGTTCACTTTTATTATATTTATTGTTTATCTCCCCCTCAAGAGTATAGGCTCTATGAGGGTAGAAAAAATCTTTTTGTGTTTCATTCACTGATATACACAAGTGTCTCAAACCAAACCTGGAACAATATACCAGTACCAGTTAGCATGTTAACCATTTGTACCACCCAGGGAGGCCCAGCACAATACAGGCACTCAATAAATATCTATTGAATTAATTGAGTGAATGGAAAAATGGAGCTTAATATTGGTATGGCTAACGAGAACAACTATACAAGTAAAACATGCCGAAACAGCAAGCAAGGAATTCTCTGACAGTTGGTGGGTAGGAGCCTAAGTACATTATTAACAAGTGTCACTTCATTTCATTGTATGGGGTGTTGAGGTCAAATGCTTATGGGTATCAACATTCCTGACACTGGACATGTTTTATGGAACACAGGAACAGTCTAGGCATCCTGACCACTGTGCACCTTCTTTACTACTATTACTAGGAGGTAGAAGAATTCAGGTTGCTGTCTTATTCTTTCAAATTGTAGAAGCCTCATAAAAACCAAAACCAAATCCATTGCCACTGAGTCGATTCCAACTTGTAGCAACCCTATATAGCCTCATAGTTTGTGTTAATGTTTCCGAAATTCTTGGGACACCACCCTGGTAGGGGTAGAAAGTGCACTCATTACATCCCCACACATTTCTAAATAGCAGTTAGGGCTCCTTGACGTAACTGTTGAGGCAGCTGTTTCCACGGTCCTTATATCCTCCCTGGGTTTGTCTGCAAGTGAGAGGGTTAGAGTAGCGTTTGCCCTTCGTATATGAGAGTGAAACACGTCCTGAACAAAAGCAAGGTAAATTAGGACGAGAGAAAAGACATTGGAAGAAATTACCACTTTTTTTTTTTTAAACCCCTACTATGTACCAATCCCAGCACTAAATTCTTTTGTTTAAACTCCATGATACACTTGCTGGTTAAATGACCTAAAGTCAATGGCTATCCTGCTGCTGTCAACACCACGGTAACATTATAAGTACATGTGCAATGAAACACAGAAAACTTGGCTACATCGTGATTTCCATTACAAATTCATTCTGAAGTAAATGTACAATTTTCATGAACCCTTATTCATAAGAACAATGCCAAGAAACACAGGACTAAATAAACCAGATTGATTTGCTGCCATTTTTACAAATTCAACACAATGTGTTTCTTTGTGAACATCTAATATTGGCTCTTTCATTGCCTTTAATACAGTTGTAACGTGTGTCTCTAAAATCGACTTACCTAAGTAAAACCACATCTATGGAGGATGCAAAAAAAGAACCTCTTTAAACTCTACTACCTAAATGATGGCCACATTAATATCATTCTATGCTTTTGGCTCTCAACCATCTAATAGCTTTACTCTAGTAAAACAATAACACCTGTTAAGGGAAATGAGGAAATAGCATGGGGATTATTGCTTTTAGCATTTAATAGTGTATTGGAGTCTTGATGCCTGCTTGCATTTGCTTGGCATAAGTTTCAAAGGGAAAATTAAGTTCTAAGCTGATGCTACTATTTGAGATCCCAGAAACGGACCCTGGGAATAGTTTGCCTTTTTTGTGGCAGTAGAGATTTTCTGATGAAGTACACCATTCCCTAATGAAAAAGACCTGGCACAGCTTCATATGATAAAATTTGATCAACGTGAGGAATGTGATTATCAGTTTGGGAACAAGTGGTTTAATAAAAGAAACATGAGATTGGCTATGCCTTGGCAAGAAACACCCCTAACCATCATGTGAGCCCCACAGATGATACCCACAATGCTACAACTGTGCAAGTTCCCACCGACATCACTGACAATGCTGGCACAGAGACAAAAGACATAATCCAAAATGGTCACGTTGGACTCTGCTTCTCTAGAGTCACATAAAAACAACAACAACAAAAAACTACTCCTCACCCCTCAAAAAAAAACTACCATGGAATAAATCTGAGGCTCCATCAGAGCTATTCAACATGGATATTTCTAGGTAGGTATATAGACAGAACAAGAGGATAGTGCATAGTTTAAAATCAGGAAAGGTGTGTGTCAGGGTTGTATCCTTTCTTATTCAATCTATACACTGAGCAAATAATCCAAGAAGCTGGACTATATGAAGAAGAACGCATCATCAGGATTGGAGGAAGTCTCATTAACAACCTGTGATATACAGATGACACAACCTTACTTGCTGAAAGTGAAGAGGACTTGAATGAAGCACTTACTGATGAAGATCAAAGACTACAGCTTTCAGTATGAAACACAAAGAAAACAAAAATCCTCACAACTGGACTAATAAGCAACATCATGATAAATGGGGAAAATATTGAAGTTGTCAAGGATTTCATTTTACATAGATTCACAGTCAACGTCATGGAAGCAGGAGTCACGGAATCAAACAATGTATTGCATTGGGAAAATCTGCTGCAAAAGATCTCTTTAAAGTGTTAAAAAACAAAGTCACCTTGAGCACTAAGGTTCTCCTGACTCAAGCCATGGTATCATCAATTGTCTCATAAGAGCTGGACAATGAATAAGTAAGACTGAAGATGGATCGATGCATTTGAGTTATGGTGTTGGTGAAGAACATTGAATATACCATGGACTGCCAGAAGAACGAACACATCTGTCTTAGAAGAGGTACAGCCAGAATACTCCTTAGAAGTGAGGACAGTGAGCCTTTCTCGTTTATTTAGGACATATTATCAGGAGTTATCAGTCCCTGATGAATGACATCATCCTTTGTAAAGAGAAGGTCAGTGAAAAAGAGGAAAACCCTCAAGGAGATAGACTGATGCAGTGGCTGCAACAATGGGGTCAAACATAGCAATGATTGTGAGGGTGGTGCAGGACCGGGCAGCATTTCGTTCTGTTGTGCATGGGGTTGCTATGAGTCAGAACTGACTCAACAGCATCTAACATATAGATTGAAAAAAAAAAACAAAACAAAAAACCAGCAATTGCAAAAAAAAAAAGGGCAACTCTTTAAAAACAGTAACATTGTAAATTACGATAAATGCAAAATAAAGAAGATGTGAAAAGTGAAGTTTGAATTCTCCAGGTTGGTACTAACATTCTGACTCTGGAACAATAGGTCATCTAGTTCAGGAGGGAATAACACTTGTTATTAATTGCATTTTGCAAAAAGAGATCAATACAATAAGGTTCTTGCTGTTTTGAGAATATTTCAAGTTTATATTCATTAAAAAGAAATAGTTTACATTACCCGCATGAATGCTTGATGTGCTGTACAGTAAACTCCTCCGCTTGATAGTTGTATGCTTCTTGTGATCACCTCAGAAGTTCCATCAGAAGAAAAGTAAAATCTCGATGGAGTTTCTGCCTTTCTGTTCACATCCAGACTCACGTTATAAAACAAAACTGAAAAATACAAATAGAATTGCAATGAATATAATTATCTAAAAGCATTTATTATTTTTGAAATGATAGCTGTTACATAGAATACTGTAAATATCCTAAAATTTATTCATTAAATAGCTTTTAAAAAATAACCTAAAACTTTGACAACATAACAACAAAAAAGACAAATAACTCAGTCATAAAACAGAAAAAGGAGTTGAATAGATGTTTCACCAAAGAGGACATTCAAATGGCCACCAAATACATGAAAAGATGCTCAACATCATTAGCCATCAGAGAGATACAAATTAAAACCACAGTGAAATACCATTGCACACCCACTAGGATGGCTAAGATAAACACACACACACACATACACACACAAAATAACAAATGTTGGTGAGAATGTGGGGAAATTGGAACCCTTATCAATTGCTGGTGGGAATGTAAAACGGTATAGCCGTTGTGGAAGATAGTGCAGCAGTTCCTAAAAAAAGTAAAAATACAACTACCATATGACCCAGCAATTCCACTCCTATGTATATACCAAAAAGACTTGAAACCAGAGACTCAAACAGAGACTCGTACACCAATGTGCACTGCAGCACTATTCACCCTAGCCAAAAGGTGGAAATAATCTAAATGCCCATCAACAGATGAATGGATAAACAAAATGTGGTACATACATACGATGGAATATTACTCAGCCAGTAGGAGAAATGAAGTCTTGATGCATGCTACAATATGGATGGAGCTTGAAGATGTTAAGCTGAGTGAAATAAGTCAACCACAAAAGGACAAATATTGTATGACCTCACTTATGTAAAAAGACAAGAACAGGCAAATGTACCAAGACCAAAGTTCATTAGTGGTTACCAGAGGTGGGAAGGAGGAAGAAAGAGGGGTTAACAATGATGGAAAAATCACATTGATTAAAGGTAGGGATGAATAAGGAAAACCAAAGAAGAACTGATGCCTTTGAATTATGGTGTTGGTGATGAGTATTAAATATACCATGGACTGCCAGAAGAATGAATAAATCTGTCTTGGAAGAAGTACAGCCAGAGTGTTCCTTAGAAGCGAGGACGGCAGGAATTTGCCTCATGTACTCTGGACATGTTATCAGAAGGGACTAGTCCCAGGAGAAGGACATCATGCCTGGTAAGGTAGAGGGTCAGTGAAAAAGAGGAAGACCCTCTATGAGACGGATTGACAAAGTGGCTGCAACAATGGACTCAAACATAGCAACAACTGTGATGGCACAGGACTGGGTAGTGTTTCGTTCTGTTGTACATAGGGTCACTATGAGCAGGAACTGACTCAACAGCACCTAACTACAAGGGTAGGGTTGCACAACTGATTATTATAATTGCTGTCAAGAAGTTGTACACATGCAAAAAGTTGAATTGGCAAATGTTGTATGATAGATGTATTTACAACAATGACAAAAAAAAAGAGTAGTTGCAGAGGTTGATTATGTACAACCAAACACCTCATGGAATTTGGTTCCTTGATTTGGAGGTTTAGAGTCATGGTTTCATGGGACATCCCAGTTAACTGGCCTAATAACGTGTTTAAAGCTTCTGTTCTACCTCCTAGTTTGTTGCATGGTGCCTAGAGTCTTAAAAGCTTGAAAGCGGCCATCCAAGACACAACAATGGATTCTATTCACCTGGACCAACAGAGGAAGGAGAGTCAGGAATAGGAGGAGGACACAGAATGTGTGGCTAGTCGCCTCCACGAATAACTGCCACCTTTTCCATGAGACCAGAAGAACTGGATGGTGCCCAGCTACCATTACTGAACATTTTGATCAAGGACAAAATTCTATAGAGGACTCCTGGTCAAAAGGGGGAATATACAGAATAGAATTTCAAATTCTTATGGACTCCAAACTTCCTAGAGTCATGAAGGCTGGATGAACCCTTGAAATGACTGCCCTGAGATAATATTTAACGTTTAAACCAAAAATATCTCCTGAAATCTTACAACCGAACAATAGTTTAACTTAACTAGTAAAAAATGTGTGCCTTGAGCATTATGCTCTATTAACAACTATCTATAAGGGAGCAAACTGACAACAGCTTCTCAAAAGAATAGATAAGAAGCTTAGGGGGCAGTGAGTTTATGTTAATGGGGGAGAAAGAACTCAGAAAAGGAGGGGTGAGAATGGTTGCACAACTCGAAGAACATAATCAATTATCACATGAATGTACATGTAGAAATTATTGAATTGGTGTATGTTTTGCTGTGTATATTCACAACAACAAAATAAATAAAATTTAATAATAATAAAATAACTTGAAATATGAAAGAGGGAACAATTTTAAAATACAAACTTCAAAATTTTTAGAAATTAAAAAAAAGATTTATAAACTTTTCTCTGAGTTCCAACTATTAACAATATTAATACCTTTAGTTATTTGCTTAGTCCTCCTATATACAGAAGTTTCAAAACAACAATACCAAAACTAACTTGTCCTTAGAACATCTTACTAAGGAAATACAAGCAAAGCACTGTGCTCGAAGCCACTTGGACTAATTCTATTTTGTGTGGGTACATGGCTTTTTTCATACATGGTTAGGTTCATTTAATTTCAGTTTGCTTCCAGTTTGAGGATTTGCAATTTTATTTTTTGCCTTAATTTCATTTTATGTAACATGAATACATAATTCAAAAGTCAACCTATATAAAAGGTTTACTCAAAGATGTCTCCTTCCCAGCCCTCTCTCCTGATTATTCTCACTCCCTCTGTTTTTACTGGTTTCTAGTTTTACCTTCAGGGTTTTATTTGTTTTTGCAAAAACAAACAAACAAATGTATACATTCTTTCAATAAATATTCTGGCAGTTTGATGATAACTTATGTCAAATCTGACGTAGTAAAGACTGACTTGTTAAAGAAGTTCTTTAATAAGCAAAAAATGAAATCAGGAAAACAAAAAAGTAATCGAAAAATTCCAATTCAAATCGTGCCAAGAAAATAAGAGCCACTTCCTGAATCCAAATGGGTTCTTTGCAAAGTAAGCTAAATCTACCAGGCGGCTGAGATGTCACTTTTTACACAAGAGCAATCATTCATAAGCGATACTTCAAAGAATTTATACAATTCCTGGAGAGTTAATTTATATTTTAGGAGTAACTTACTCTTTTGGAAGGATTTCACCTATTTATTTTAAGGAAACATGTGCAAAATCTATATTATTGCCACAAACTTCAAATAAATATCTCAGCCTTCTCTTTATTTAGGAAATAAAAAATAAAGTCCAAATCAACTGACTTCAAAATTACAATAACTGAGATTCAGTACTTCAGAGAGTGAGCTTGAGTTGAAATATCCATCTACAAATTTATCACCCCAACCGAGCTCACACAAAAAGTGAAGTGAATACAAATCCAGTCACAGTAAGAGGCAAATGTCCTGGTCTTATTAAACACACTTCCTATGTGAATTACTTCTCACAAGGAGTCATTTTATGACAATTATAAAGCATGTTTTCATAACAGTGCTGTGATTATTTATGAGCTTGAGACAGTTGTTTTCAACCATTTTTTATAAATATCTAGTCACAATAGTGTTGGGAATATAGGAAGCACGGATGTTACATAAAGGGAAATAGTTATATTTATTCCATCGGTCTCAGATAATCCATTAGCTCATCTGTGTTACTCTGTAATTCACTTTGGGATCACGCTCTCAAACTGCCACTTTTCCAATCAATAATGAGATGAGGGCTGGCCCAGCCTCCTATCACTGCAGCTCTCACATTAAAAATGAGTCTGATCCATAGTAGAGATACCAGGCTCATTCCTTCCAGCTCACTACAAGTTAATTCTGGCTGAGATTTGGGTTCAGTAAGACTGATGCCTCTCATGATGTTCAGATGACAGCCGCCTGAAGGGTCATGAGCGCACTCAACTCTTGATAGGTCTTGAGGGGACAAGGTTCATGATAGCTCATAAACTTTGTGAATTATTAATGTCTCAATGATAAACCCAGGTATACATCTCTCCTACCACTGACTAGTTTCACTAGCTATTTTAATATTAGCTTAAATATAACTTAAGTAGAAACATTAACTTGCTAGTAAAAATATAATACAAAGTCACATATATGTGATTTGGGACTAACCACAACTTTGGCAGATCCATATCAATGCTGCTTTGTCCAGAGATGATAACTGAGAGTGACTTATTTAAAGGGAAATGGAGGTGACTCTCAGGAGCTGATAGTCACAGTAACTCATTAAGAGATGTGTATTATTTATAGAAATTAGAATTATGGCCTAGACTCCATATAAGCTTCTTCCAATTATTCAAACAGGATAGAATATGAAGGAAAAAATCTTCTTCCTCGCAGGCCTCCCAGCTTATGCCAGTTCTAGACTTTACAGAACCCCGTAAGGTAGAGGGGAGCCCTTTCAACTCTAAAGGGATTTTACAGATTAACCTCAGTCGGTTGACCTTACACTAATATAGCAAGTGATACTCCTGCCTTGCTCTGCTTCTTGCCACAACCTCTAAATGACTACAACCTCTTATGTACCCCACTCATCAACTGGAATAATGTGAAAATCTGGAAGATGAGGAATAAAAATAAGTATCAGGTGGCTGCTCTCTCCTGTTCTAAAAAAGATCTTCATGGTGAAAAACAATGAGGGCTCAAAAGATGATCATGAGAATAATGCATGACATGCATGCTCCATCAGGTATTAACTATACAAAAGCACACTTACCAATATGATCTGGAACCTGTTTGCCATTATACGAAAAGCAGAGTTTTAGATCAATGCAGACAGAAGGCAATCCATTTTCAATACAGTCAAATTTTGTTCTATTCACCGACTCAGAGTGGTTTAAAGAAGCTTTGACAATCACTACAGGTCTTGTTCTAAGAAGGAAATAAAATTAGTAATATTAATTGTAGAATCATCTTTCCTTACAAAGACTAACACTTGTATTTATTTTGTCGATTTACATTGTCCAAGTAATTTCCTGAGTCTGCTTTATTAATAGTATGTGCCTGTATATGCAATTGCATTTCCGTGCACTGATAAAGAGGAATTTCCATTTAAATGTCTAAAATTACTTACTTTGCCTGATGATTATATTTATGTAAGTTAGGAAAAGTATCCTGAAGTTCAATAATTAAACTTCAAAATACCAAAAAGAGCATTATGAGGTCACTACCACTGCTAATTTAAAAAATTGCCTCCCATCATTTACAATTAAGCACAATTGTCATTAAGCAGTGAAATGTATCAACCTTACCTTAGCAACACAGCAGAATCAGACTGAAAAGCACCAACGGCTACATCTGGAGGATAAAAAACAACAACACAGATTAATGATCATCATTAGTCAAAGAGAATTACTTTTCAGCCATAAATACTTAACTACATCTCACCTTCGACTATATCAAAACATTATTTACAGAAAATTAATTAGGAAAGATATGCTAACATCTTAAGATTCATTCCACATTTGTCTGAATTCATTCATTTTCAATGACCTTCATTCCTTTATAATATAAATATAAACTTTACAATATAAAGATAGGCTTACTAAAACAAAATCTGTATTAATATTCAGAATAGAAACATTTAACCAGAAATCTACTCTCCAATTTAAAAAAAACAAGTATTTTTTTCTTTCTTTTCATAATTATATGATTTATTTTCATAGGTATTTTTTTTTGAGAAGAATAAATATAGCATTAACAAGCAGTGTAAAGCTTAGAAATTTTGATCATTTCAAAATCCTTGAATTCGATAGAGTTTTAGAAACAAAGGAAAAAGAAATCAGTAAATTAGAAGTCTTCCATACCAGCTGTATGTACTTCACAATAAAGCAGAATCCACAACAGAGCTTATTCCAACTAATAAAATGTGGTACTCACCTACATATCCATTATCATCTGCATCAATTTGCCCAGATATAGACTGTCCAAACATACTTAATGATTCACTAATCTGAAGTCCTTCAATTCTCTGAAAAATAGTAAAGTTGAATGTGAAGCAGTTTTTAAACACCTAATATCCCAGAGAAGCAATGATTTAGTTCAATAATGGGCCTCCCCATGTCCTGGCACATGTAGTAAAAAAAATGCATTTTGGTTAAGTCAAATACTTCTGTCTAAGAGGAAACCAAAGTTTCCACCTTGGAGTAAGCAGTTGACATCTATTTCATGACTAAAAAAATTACCCTCTTTACTTTATGAGCTAAGGGAAAATTATGTAGAGATCTTTTAAAATAGTCCCAACTTCCTCTCCTCCTCACCTTCCCCAGTCTTCCTTCAGGCTCTGTTTTTACCTGCCTGACCAAGATGAATAACTAAATAAGTAAACTGGAAAAGAAGACATCTATAATAATTTAGTGCAGCCTACTGCTCGGGCTTAAGATGAAAGCCACCCTATTTAGCCATACTGCTTCCCAGCAGTTAACAAGGACATTCCAAGTCAGATATGTGCTTCTTATTCCATATGTCTAATTTGATGTCCGGATACTGATTTATAAATGTCAGGCTGCTAGCCGCACTAAGAGAATCAGTATTTTTTTAATTGGACAATTAGATATTTTTCATATTAAATTTGGAGATCCATTTGCCCATTTTTGCTTAATCAAAAATAACAGTATTAGCTAATATTTCGAAGAAAGTATCTTTGGATCAACTTTTATTCTTTGAGTATGAATGTAGCTTTTGGGGGGTATGCACTGAAATGCTCTGATTTTTCAAAATGTAAAAGTGAAGTCAGAGTTCGATTACAGAACTTTATTAAAGTGCTATCATCTTACTACTCTATACTGAAAGAAACACAGAGTATCATGTAAGTGTTTGCTATTCCTGTGCAATCTCCAATAAATATAGGGCTTTAGCCACAAGACAAAAAACAGTTAATCATATCCGGATGGGCTTATTTGGAATACTATGGATATTGCTTTGGAACATAAATGTGATGAAATGCGAAAGAAATCGTTAACAGGCTAGAGACAAACTAGAATGGCAGTGAACTTGAACTCTTGTTTATGAAAAAATGGTTTCAAAGAGTGATCAATGACCTTAAAAATGAGATCATTTACCATTATTATAAAAAATGGTAAATAAAGTATTGAATATTTGAAAGAGCAAATTAAGAAAAATAAATTTCCATTATCCCTGAGCGTTTTAAGGAAGGTTTTTAGACTGATGGGTTTTTTGAAAATAGAATAGTATCATACCTGTGAGAAGGCTGGTGAGATCCCATCTACTCGGCCATTGTAAATATAAATAGCGCCCCGCAAGTCGTCTTCTTGTGGAGCTCCAATAGCAACATCTATTCAAGGATTTAAACGGTGGGAAAGTAACAAATTTTTGACACAAAGTCTCTGGTCAGGGTGAATGCAACTTTGAGATCTAACATTCTTAGAAATCTAACATTCATGACCCTTGATTCATATTGCATAATATAAAACTCCCTCTTATAAAAATAACTAGCACCGTTCTCATTTGACAGAAAGAAAGTATCAGAATACTAACATCATGACAACAATGTACAGGGCCATGCAGAACTGTCAGTGCATGCAAGACTGAATGGCTGCAGTGAAGAAAGTGGAGTGGATGGGACCTGAGAGGCATTGTAACAGAGTGGTTAAGGGTATGGGCTCTGCAGTCAGACTGTGGGTGTGACCCCAGCTCTGTCCAGCTGTGTGACCCAGGGCCCGTTTCTTAATCTCTCTGTGTCTCAGTGCCCTCACCTACAGAATGGGATCATAATAGAATCTACCCTCAGCATAAAAGAATATAATGGGTGTAAAGGGCTTAGAGCAGTGCTTGCCACTTAGTATGTTATTATAATCTATGAAAATTATAACCACAATAATCTTTATTTTGAGCTCTGAACTTTAATGTATTTGCAAAATGACCTCTAAATTAATTCCTTATTCCAATGACAGTAATTAAGGTAGTATTTGCTAAGGATATCTGTATACACATATACTAACACACACACCAACACCACACTAGATTTTAGATAATGGATTTGCTCCGAAAAAATAACGATTGCATCACCTTTATAACTATATTGGGATTTACATCATATTATGACACCAGGGGAGCCCTGGTGGTGCAGTGGTTAAGAGCTCGGCTGCTAACCAAAAGGTCTGCAGTTCAAATCCACCAGCCGCTACTTGGAAACCCTATGGGGCAGTTCCACTCTGTCCTACAGGGTCGCTATGAGTTTGGAATCAACTCAACAGCAATGGGTATGACACCAGAGGAAATAAAAAAAAAAAAAGATTTGATCAACTGATACAAGAAAATCAAGAGAAAAACTATAAATGATGTGGTTGTTTCAGTGCTATAAATATGTAGCACACAGAAGAAAAATATTATTCTACAGTTGCAAGAGCATTTCATTATTTTTTATCAAGTATTATGTCTATTTATTTGTGTGTGTGTATATATACAAGTATTCACATATATATGGGTATATTCATATATTTGTTTATATGTAATATTTTTATTATCTTAATAGAAACCTAAAGTACAGAAAGTTTATTTTCATAATATTTATTATTTATCACTATCTATTAAATCTAAAAGCTTTTTAAAAACTATGGTGGTAATTTTTTACTGCTATTTCTATGGAAATAAAAACATCTTTGATATATAAAATCTATGTCAAGTGCTGTATAATTAAAAAAATGCAAAAGCTTTTCTAGTTTCATCTAAAAATAAAAGGTAGACATCTCCATACTTACTTTGTTTAGACATAGTAATGCTAGCCTGTTTTTACTTGTACAGATTATTTTAAATTTTCACATGCAAATATACCCACTTGTGGACAACTATTAATCACCTACTGTATTCCAGGCATTTGCCAGGAGCTGGTGATACAGGGCGGTACCACAAAAAGGAACTCATATTCTAGTAGTTAAGATCAGCAAGTAAAAACAGAATAATAACAGCATGGAAGAGGTGGTGGAAATTAAGGAAACTTAGCATAAGATGATGCTCAAGCTGAGATTAAAGTATTGATAGGTCATAGCCAGGTGAAGAAGAGGGAAAAAGCAGTATAGACTGAGGAAGCAGCCTGTGCAAAGGCAGGGGAGCAAGAGACAGCAACGTACACTTGAAGAATGGTAATTGGTTAGAACAGCTGAAGCTAGAAATCTGCAGACTAAATATATGTAGGAACATAAGGAGGAAGAGGGGAAAGAAAAAGGAATGGAGGAGGAAGAGAAGAAGAGGGAGGTGAAGGGAAGAGGGGAGAAGTAAGTATCTTACAGCCATCGAAGACAAGACTAGTTAGCTATTTCATTAATCAGGGATGGGTTAATACTTCTACCACTCTGGCTAAATCCCTCCTAACTAAAATTCTATACCTTTATTCTTAACAATACATGAAAAATAACAAGTCAGGGTTATAAAATTGTTGAAACACAGAAATTCTTACATTATCAGTTATTAGCACAGTGATCTAAATTAAGACAAATATCTTGAGACAATATAGATGAGCCTTTTCAGCTGAAATACAAGAAAGGCCCACGTCAATTTTTCTTCCACGCAGAAGACATTTGGGTATATTCAATCTTTGGCTATCTTATGTATAGACCCAAACTCTTAATTCCTGGGATAACACCCGGATCTGTACTAAAAAATTCTAGCTATCATTACAGAAACTGGGAAAAATACTTTTGAAGTATATATAATGAATAACAAAATGCTTTTCTGTGCCTACACAGCTCGTATATGTGAACTGGGGACACAACATACAGAAACAACGACCAATGTATTTGACAATGTTTACACTTCTCATCTGATTATTTATTTCATTTAGTTAATAAAAAAAATAATTATCATTAGTATAATCATAAAAATCTTGACATCAGCTACCAATTATATAATGCTTAAGATGCTGGCACCGTGCTAGGGGCTTTTCATAAATTAACTGATGTAACTTTCACAACAACCATATGAAATAAGTACTTTTTGGCCCTCACTTTACAGATGAAGAAACTGAGAGAAGAGTGTAATTCTTGTAACAAGGTGGTGGAGCTGGGATTTAAACCTGGCAGTCGGGCTCCAGAACCTGTGCTCTCCTCTCCATGCTCTCAAAAATCAACAACAGAGGTTATACGAAACATTTTCTCTTCTAACACACATTGCTGTTCTGTGCCAAAGAAGAGCTCAATTAACGGGTTGATGATATATCTGTATCTATTTCAGGAGCACATAAAAATAATAAAGCTTATAATTTGCAACTGTAAAACCGTGCTATGATTTGCTCTAAAAATATCAAAAGATATAGTCTAAAAGTCAGATAAAATGGTTCAATGTGAAAAAAATATAAGCCAGCTGTCTCGCCAAATCCATTTTACATCTGAAATCCAAAATACTAGCTCTTCTATCTACCTACCAACCCAAGAACAGGTATGGTTTTCATTCCTTTTCTACACAATCCCACTCTCCCTATCATGAATACAAAATACCTATATTCATTTACTCTAGAAACATAAAGTAAGATAGAAGATGGGAAAAAGGGATAGAAAACCACATAAAGAACCATAAAACGTAGATGCTCCAGTGTCTCATCTCAGCAGACATGGTGGAAGGGAATTAAAGACCTTGGTGAAGAACTAGAACACACTGATACTACTTTCAAATCAGTTGCTAATATCCAAAATGTAAAACGTAAAATAAAATTAAAAATGGACCAAGTAGAAGGAAATATATGTTATTATAAAACTTTCACTGTGATGAACCAACATTAACGTAGCCTCTAAATGTAAATGTGCTGTAGGTTGTAAATGGAGACGGAATTATAAGTGGTACAAAAATATGTTGAAATCTGGCCTCCTCTACCTTGAGATCACAAGAGCTAGATGGTGCCTGACTACCAGTACCCAACGTTCTGATCAGGGTCACAATAGATGGATCCTGATAGAAAGGGAAAGAAAATGTGAAACAGAACCTAAATTCTCAAAGAATCCAGACTTACTGGACCCAGTGAGACTGGAGAAATTCCCGAGACTAATGCCTTGAGATACTCTTTAAACCTTGAACAGAAATTATTCCCTGAAAGCACATTTAAAGTAGATTGAGGCATTTAGGCAGAAGCAAAAGTTAAGAAGATAAGATTTTATAGCAACCCTCACTTATTTCCAGTATCCAAGTAAGTTTTAGCTTAGTAAGTGTTTTACATAATTATCAATTACCATATATCAATAGCAGATTAGCTCAAAATGTAAAGAATTTCCCCCTTGAGAACCATGCTCTTTAAATAATTATCCATATGAGACCAAATGGACAATAATTACTCTACAGCGTAGATGAGAAGTTCGGAGGGCAGTGAGACTAAATGGGAGTGGAACAACTAGAACGAAAATAATGAGAATGTTGACACAAACTGAAGAATGTAGCCAATGTCATTGACTATTATGTGTAGAAATTGTTGAATGGGAACCTATCCTGGTGTGGATACTTTCACCAAAAATACAATAAATTATAATAAAAAATATGTTGAAATGTATTCAAAAATAATAATTTGAATAATAATCTTTCAAATATAAACATACTACTTTTAGGAGTTGCGTGCTGGAGATGCAGATTCTCATATGGACTTTAAAAAACTGCATTGTACCCTGAAGGTCCCCTCTAAGTCCCTCTTCCTAAGTGTTATGGACAGAATACTTTGTCCTTCACACCCCTGGGAAATTGTCTGGGACTTTCCCAGCTACTAGAATGTATTGGTTGAAGGAACTTGCCTATTGTTCATGACATTCTTACAACTCTATCTGATTACAGAAATAATTCACGTTTGTTATTGACATTTTGGTGCCATAAAAATCACTTCTCACATGCACACACACACACACCCCCATATATATGTTAGCACCTTCGAAATAGTGAATGCTCTTTGTCGAACATGTCAATTAAAACAAGTTGTAGAAGGAAACATAGAAAGGCAAAGTAAGAGTTTTACTAAAGGATAATTTTGTTTTTAAAAGAAAGACTATTGTTTTATATAACATATATGAAATATCAAATTGTATAAATACAGTTTTATGCTATAAATATTTACTAAGTAGGGTGTCTCTATGTGCTTAAACCCACCACTAAATAAGGTTTATTTTTTCATGTTTTAATCATTTAACTCCATTTGATTGCAAAACTAGAAAAAGAGTGCCACTATTTCTTCATTTACATTTTTAATAGCACATAATCTATACCTGGTATGGTACATATGACACACTATAAATGCTCAATAAATATCACAGAATTGCTGACTATTTATGAAATAGTCATCATAACAAAATTGTATAGGTGTTTTAAAATGTTTTAATGTAAAATATTATGTGCAGTCAGAATAACCAGAAATATATCTACATATACATGTCCCTTCTTTCATTTTTAAAATAGTTTAAAAAATCCAGAGATGGTAATATTTGTGTATGAAATTACACTATTTTCCATTTAATACGGCTCATTGGAAGCAGATATTCAAACAATTATTCAGTAACTGACTGTCTTGTGGAATAATGCATTTTATATATTTAAAGTAGATTGAGACATTTAGGCACAAGTAGAATTTAAGAAGATGAGACTTTATGGCACCCTTCACTTATTTCCAATATCCAATAAGTTTTAGCCTGATATGTGTTTTACATAATTATCGATTACCATATACCAATTGTCAATGGCTGTATCAAGAAAAAAGACACATTCTGAGCCATGAAAATAACTATCAAATACTTATTTATTGAATTCTAGGAAATCATACCAAAAACCAAACCCACTGCCATCAAGTTGATTCTGACTCACAGCGACCCATACACTCTCTGCTAAAACTCATCCATCATTTTATGCACAGCTTTAACAGACTTGGTTATCACTCAGAACTAAATTTAAAAAGGCAGACTTTAGGAGGGAATGCTGGTAGAGACAGGTAATTAACAGCAGGGCTGATATCCAGACAACATGCATAGTTAAGACAGTACCTTCTATTAAATTATTAAAATACTTCCACATCAATCGGTAAATAACCACAGTCTACGAGTCCCCCAGATGCCTCATCTCCTGTGATCCCCAAGTCCCTCCACAATGCAGCAACTGAACAGGGAATGCCTGGCACAGCAGGGAACTTCCAGAGCCCTGCTGTAGGTCTGCAGCCAGCATCTGTTGGGTTTGGTCAGTGTTTTTACTATGCTGCTAGTTAAATACCATATGCTAATGAGTCTAAACTATACATTTTTTTCATATTCAATAACATTTCTGAAATCAAGATCCTCCTTGAAATAAGTGATGTGTCACAATTTAATAAGCTATGTTATTTTTCTGTGTTGGGGCACATAAAATAATGTAAATTAAAATCAATGGAAGGAGCCCTAGTGGTGTAGCGGCTAAGCGCTCGGCTACTAACCAAAAGGTTAGCAGTTTGAACTCACCAGCCGCTCTGCAAGAGAAAGATGTGGCAGTCTGCTTCCGTAAAGATTACAGCCTTGGAAGCCCTACTGGGGCAGTTCTGCTTTGTTCTACAAGGTCGCTGCATCGGACGACTCGGTAGCAAGGGGTTTGGTTTTTTTTTTTTTGTTATAATCAATGGTGTCTTAGAATCAATGAAATACGATACTTTGACTATCATCCTTTATTAAGAACATTAATAATCTACTGTTGACAATCTAGGAGAAGTCAGATGTAACAGTATAAAGAAAAAACAAATTTAGCATACCATTCTGGCTCCATTTTCTATAGACTAGAAACACAAAACTCCAATCATATTCTCTTCCCTGCACTATTTTAAATGCTGAAATGAAGTACAAAATTAGAAACTTTTAATTACCTTCAAAGCCATCATTGTCAATGTCACCAAGATTAACTATCGATTCCCCAAATCTTGCGGCATATTTGTCACTTCCAATGAGCTCTGTTCCCATTTCAATCATTACTGCTCCCTAGATAGAAAAGCGGAGAAAAGGTGTTATTGACAGCCCGACAACTGTACACCTGATTTACTGTTGTAATTGGGTATATGTTTTTCCCTAATGCTTCAAACAAGTTGGACAAACTACAGACTGAGCTTTAGTACACACATCTTAGTTCAATTCAATAAATATTTATTGAGTATGTCAACACATGTAACAGTATGATTAGAGCTCAGGGGATATAAACAATTGTCAAATTCATGATCCCTAGCTTTGAAAATTCAATAAATTATTTTGATAATTCAATTTAGCAAATATTTATTGAGCTCCTACCAGAGTTCCTACTAAAGGCAGTGCACTGTGCAAAGAATGAATGGGTGAAAGGGGACATGGCAACGTGTGCATAAGGCACATTCCCTTTTCTCAACAAGTCTGCAGTTACAGGGAGGGCTCAGTGCAAACATGCAGATGACGTAGGAGAAGTAAAAATTTCTTTGGAATATCAAGAAGCAAAGAAAGCACATCTAATTGTGAGAACTAAAAGAGATTTCATAAAGGAGATGGCATTCAAAGTGGCTGTTGAAGGACAGATGTAATTTTGATATGCAGGGAAAACTAGATTAGCAAAACACAAATCCTAAAGAATTTGGCTATAATGAAGGGTGTGTATAATGGATGAGACAAAACAAGTCAGATTGGTCTTATGGTGTGCGATTTTGAATGCCAGGGGAAATTTACACTTAATATAGGGGACTCTAGGGGCCCACTGAAACTTTCTGAGTTGAGGAGTGAAAAGAAACAGAGCTGGTCTTTACAACCTCAATTTAGCAGCAACGCAGCATGGATTGGTCAGCTGATACGTCAGAAGCAAGAAGATGAGTTACGGCAGTTAAGACCTCTAATGCTATCGCAACAACAGCTACTAGACCTATTTCCAAACTCTGATCATGTCACTTCCTTGTATTATTCTTCCTTGAATTTCTGCAAAAACCATTACTGACCACTGACTGCTCTGACCAGGATCAAAACAGAGGGTTCTGGACAGAGCTGGAGAAGGATGTAGAGCATAATTCTAATCCACAAAAAAAAGACCAGATTTACTGGCCTAAAGGAGACTGGAGAAACCCCGAAAGTATGGCCCCCAGACACCCTTTTAGCTCAGTGGTGAAGTTACCTCCGAGGTTCACTGTTCAGCCTGGGAGTGGACAGCCCCATAAAACCAAATGAGACTAACGAGGTACAGGAGTCCAGTGACGTGGGCCAGAAGGCAGAAGGGGACAAGGAAGCTGGTGATAGGGAACCCAAGGTTGAGTAAGGATATTGTTGACGTGTTGTGAGATTGTTAACCATTGTCATAGGGCAACATTTGTAGTAATTGTTAAATGAGAAACTATTTTGTTCTGTAAGCCTTCATGTTAAGTGAGAATAACAGCACAATTGGAAGAGCGTAGTCAATGTCAGTGAACTGTGCATGTAGAAATTTTTGAAATGGTGTATCTTTGGCTATGTGTCTTTTCACCAAAAAAAAAGGTTGAGAAGTTAGAGGGTTGACATGTTGTGGGGTTGTTAACCAATGTCATAAAACAATATGTGTACTACTGTTTCATGAGAAACTATTTGTTCTGTAAGCCTTCACCTGAAGTACAAAAAAAAAAAAGAAAATTACTGAACACCTACCTGCCCAGCACTCTTCCAAGCCCTGAGAAAACAGCAGTAAACAAGACAGACTGATTCTTCTCCATATGGAGTTTACACTCTAGCAGGAGAACAGACAATAACAAACCCAACAGACAAATATGTAATATAATGCCAGGTAGTAGTGTCATTTCAGGGGATTAAGAAGTAGAAGGTTGAAAAGGAATAAGGTAAGAATATACTATAAATTTTAGAAGCTGAAATGAATTATGAAATTAACCCCGGTTTTCAACAGTGGTGCCGCACAGTAGAAGTGAGGGAAGGACAAGAGGGCAGCCTACTCGTGGGGTTGCTCCTTTGCCCTTTAACCAAAGGAGCTCCACTTATATCTGTTTTACATATAGAGACTGCTTACAATTTCAATGGAAAAAAAGGTTCTATATCACCTTTTTTAGGTATATAAGCTACTGTTTAAACTGTTTTCACAAAGTTTAGCTTTAAAGGGAAGGGAAAAAAGCAATTTGCAGAATGAGGAGGTAGTAAGTATTAATGAAGACTGTTTATGGACAGGGAAGACATGACATGTCCATGGAAGAAAAATTATTACCTGATAGCACAAATAATAAGATTCTAATGATAATATTGTAGATGATATGCCTTTCTATTACCTCTAGGTTTAAATATAACATAGGAAACTCCAATGCAGAAACAACCTTCCTGCTCTATGGTTAGCACTTTGAGAATCTCCTAGCTTTATCAAACTAGAGTGTTTTCTCTCTTAAATTGTATAGAGCTTAGTCCGATGCTTTAGTGTAAGAACTTAATAAATGCTCTGAAACTGCTGACTAAGTAAGATTACCAATACCTTATGGAACACATTTTACTTTGTTGACTCCTGACTGACTAAAAAATGATGTGCCATAAAACAAGAACCAATTTTTTCATAATTCAGCTCTTGTTCTTTAAAACGAAGAAGCAGGTCAAGAAGACCCCATTAAGGCCAGCAACACTCTTAATTGAATTCTTAAGTGGTCAGTTTCTATTCCAAAATACTCTTCATAACTTAAAACCCCACCCTAAGGAGTGATTATCTATTTCCACAACTTTCAAATAAAGTATGACAATTTTATATTCTAATCAAGAATATAATCTATACGAATTGTGCAAATTAACATTTTATCCAAATACATCTTATTTCCAATGTTTTCAAGTCAAGAAATTAAAAGCATTTAATTTTTATCTTATACATCTATTAGAATACTATAATTTATGAAATTATGCAAAGGCATTAACTACAGAGTCAATAAGAAATCCACATTTTGAAGAACGTATGAAATCATTTTTTTAAAATCAGATTGGTGTTATAATAAAACTGGAAGAAGTTTCAACTGCTAGAGTGAACACGTACAAGCTGTGAGGAGAGAAACTCCAGAACAATTTATCTCATACTTTGGAATATCAAAATGAGACAGCTGCTCATTCATCATTATGTTCCATTCTATTTTTACAGCATCAGTACAATACCGGAATTTGTTCTTTTAGCAGTAAAATATACAGAAGAATCTACAGTCTATCATAACACTGGAATAAGAACCATTTCAATTTGGATCATCATTCAATAAACGGCTTTGAGTTTGTGGATGGATCGAACTTACCACGCCAGAGTTGATGTACACGAAAACTCTTCCCTCTTCCCTGATGGTGCTCTGCATGGGAGCTCCCACGAGTAGGTCTGAGAGGCCATCTGCGTTGAGGTCCACGGCACATATGGAAGCTCCAAAATATGATCCAAGCTGCCCAAAGCAAACCAGATCCAATCCCTGAGAAAAAAGCAGGGCTACTCCCAAAAGCCATCAGTGATACCAAAGGTAGAGACATATTACCTTTTTACCTTTCATCTCATATAAAATATTTAGTTCTTTTGCATCAATGCTGAATATGTATGCCTGCAATTAGGGAAAGAATTAGAAAAGGTGAGATGACTTTCACATTTAAAAAAAAAAACAAAAAACTTATTTTCATTTTATCAAAACATCAATTTTCCTAACTTATAAATTGCACATGTTAAAAAAAAATCACTTTAAGTGTGATATAAAAGGTTTAGTAGTTCACCTTCACAATAAAATTACCTTGTTAGAAACTATCTTATTGATCCCATAGAAAGGGCACAGAAGGTGCTGTTTGCCCCACTTTTCAAAGTAAACTTGAGAAAGATTGAGTAACTAACGTTCACACAGCATATTAGCAAAACAGCTAGAAAGAACATTCTCTTTCTCTTCTAATCTTACCACAAAACACATAGCTGTCTCAATTTCCTTTCAGATGTAAAGTTGTTAAACCATAAACATATTCCTGGGATGTCTTTTGATATTCTATCTTAAAAACATTTCACATGTAAGAAATAAAAGCCTCACTTGACCTATATAATTTCCCTTAGTTAAAGCTTTCAGCTACATTTCTCTTAACAATCATACACCTTTCACCAGTTTCACTAAATGAAGTACATTGTTCATAATTTCTTTTATGTGGATCCACAATCAACACCCACGGAAGCAGAAGTTGACATCAAACGACGCATTGCATTGGGCAAATCTGCTGCAATAGACCTCTTTAAAGTGTTAAAAAGCAAAGATATCACCTTAAGGAGTAAGGTGCACCTGACCCAAGCCATGGTATTTTCAATTGCCTCATATGCATGCAAAAGTTGGACAATGAATAAGGAAGACCAAAGAAGAATTGATGCCTTTGAATTATGGTGTTGGTGAAGAATATTGAATATGCCATGGGTTGCCAGAAGAAGGAGCAAATTTGTCTAGGAAGAAGTGCAGCCAGAATGCTTCTTAGAAGCAAGGATGAGAGACTTCGTCTCACATACTTTGGACATGTTATCAGGAGGAATCAGTCCCTGGAGAAGGACATCATGCTTGGTAAAGTAGAGGGTCGGGGAAAAAGAGGAAAACCCTCAATGAGATGGACTGACACAGTGACAACCATGGGCTCAAGCATAACAACGATTGTGAGGATGACAAAGGACCAGGCAGTGTTTCGTTCTGTTGTACATAGGGTCACTATGAGTCAGAACCAACTTGATGGTACCTAACAACATAACAATATTCCTTAGAATATTTGCAGTTCCTCTTCTAATATCTTCTTATTCTATCAGACCATTTACTTGAACCTTTGTGAAGAAATAAACAAAAAAATGTAAGTCTTACTTTACCAATCTGTTCATGTTGAGGAGCTCCTCCAACTACTTCTGTAGTGTGCTGACTCTGAAAATGACCAGCTCCAACTGAGTATCCTTCAGGAAAAGAGAGAAAAGTATGAGAATCATCATTTACAATAGGTGAAATATATGATCATAAATCCAATCCTAGAATTAAATGAGACTGAATTCAAAATGATGACAGTAAACAGAGTTCTAGGAACATTTAGCATAGCAATACTCAAAACTGGATATTTATTATATGTTTTAAGGGATTATTGATATGCCTGTTATAAAACTATAGCCAAGTGTTCACATTTCCAAGGCCTAGAAATTGAATATAGCTCCTTTATATTTGGTTTGTTAGTCCCTCTATACTATCAGGACATGCTAGCTTCTAGGATTATAACAGAAATATTTTAGAGTACATAAAATATAGTATTGTAAACTTTAAATAAATATTCCTAAACTGCAAAATTTTTGGCATGGAAACCTTTTATTATGATAATCTTTTGATGACACAAATGGTAAAATTATTTTATTATGTGATAAAGGGCACAACAACCCATTGTTGTCGAGTGGATTCCTACTCATGTTCACCCCATGTGTTACAGACAGGAACTGCTCCATAGGGTTTTCTTGGCTGTAATCTTTATGGATGCAGTTTACCAAGTCCTTCTTCCACGGAGCTGCTGGGTGGATTTGACCCACCAACTTTTAGGTTAGCAAATAATTGCAAAATGCTTGCACCACCCATGCTCCTTCCAAAGGTACAATACCAAATTATATTTCTTATTATACTTCACAAGGAGCCCTGGTGGTGGGAATGGTTAAGCACTTGGCTGCTAACTGAAATGCTGGCATTTCAAACCCAGCAGTTCCTCAGAAGAAAGACCTGGAATTCTGCTTCTGTAAAAAGATTACAGCCAAGAAAACCCTATGAGGCAGTTCTCCGCTGTCAAACAGAGACATAGAGACTTGTTACGAGTCAGAATCCACTCAATGGCACCCAACAACAATAATCCTTCAAGATATCCTTCAACCATAAACAAGAAAATGTTAAAGTGAAAATGAATTCCTTCTCTTTGAAAATTAATACCTTCTGTCTGAATGGAAAAATAAAACCCAATACTGGCTTTTCTTATTACAGTTATTTCAAAGCATAGGATGTTCACATTTGAAGCACATATGGTTTAAACAAATCTATACAGTCATGCGCCACATAATGTCCATTTGGACAACATTCGACTACGTATACGTCAGTGGCGGCATTTTTTTTTTAATTTGATTGTTTATTAGAACTTCTTTAAATTCAAGTTTGCAAACATTTAACAAAGGAAAAAAAAAAAAAAACCCACCCCATCATTCTTAACCCAGGGGGTAGAAACAGGACCTATATAAGAACAGGCTTCAAGACACAACTTCCACTATAACCTCTGCATGGCTCCCACCCTTGGATAGAAGCTACCTTCAGAGCTTGGTAACCTAGACCTCTGCAGCACCCAGAGTCTGCTGGGTGCCAGCCTCCAGGGCTGCCTCTGGAGCCTGCTGGGTGCCAGCTGCAGGGGCAGGGCCCTTCTCTGAGCTTTGTGTCCGGCACTGGTGGTGATAATCAGCCAAGTTCATAATCATTTTGGCTACGCCCTTCTGGTAATAAGACCGCCCAAGTATCAAGATCTCTGCCTGCCTTTGGGGTCCAACTGACTCACGCAGGGAATGATCTGTGTAACACACACTCGACAGACATGTAAGACGTGCTCTCTGCTCGGACTGAAGATCACTTCCACCAGCCACGCCTCTAGGTGAACTCCATACGGTATATAATACGGTGTTCGCACAACGGCCAAATCACATAACATACAATTTCACAGTACATATCCTGGACCTTTAATGACACATGACAGCATTTTCTAAGAAACTACAGGTAAAGCAATTCTTTCATTATAACAGAGAATTAATGCCAGAAAAATCTGGTGTTACTATAGAAATGTAATCTGTAAAGTATCCTATTGCTGACTTATAAAAAATAACAATAATAATAATTAAAAGAAGAAGGAGGGGAAATAAAAGCAGGAGGAGGAAGAGGAGAAAATATACAAATAGTTAAGCTATGGGAAATATTTTAAGAATTTATCAGAAGAAGATCAATGAGCTGTTTTTAGACCCATACACTTCATAATGTTACCCCTTGCCTAAAATAAGGAGCCCTGATGGCACAGCGGTTAAGTGCTTGGCTGCTAACCAAAAGGGTGGCGGTTCAAACCCATCAAAGATGTAACAATTTGCTTCTATAAAGATTTACAGCCTTGGAAACCCTATGGGGCGGCTTTATTCTTCCTCTAGTGTCGCTATGAGTCAGAATCAACTCAACAGCAATGGGTGTGGTTTGGTTTTTGCCTAAAATAGTGTTGTCAATCCCACTGGCTTTCAGTTGGTCCTTTAAAAAGCTATACTTATTTACTTACTCATACATGATTAAATAGTTAATTCTTATAAAGTGCTTACAAAAGTGCCTGGCATATGGTACACACCCAGTGGATGTTACCTACAAATAGTTGACTGTATAATGATGCAAGCTTTCAGGTGTTTCATAAAGTGCATGGTAAATAATAAACTAAACTAAGCGTTCTAGTCTAAGAATTATATATAGATGATTGTAGTCACATATGTATGTGTAAAATATTAAATTAACTGAAGTTTCATAGCTTCTATCCATAAAGAGATAGTTTTTGAACTCTAAAAATTACTTCTGGCCATTTTGATCTTTTGCAAATACAGTTTCCCTTATTTATAATTACTAGTATCAATAAGGCAGAGATAATTTGAGTTTATCAATTTTTATAGTACCTAAATAACTTCCAAATTTTACTCGATTATCTTTGTCTAAAAAAGCCTTGTATTTATTTGTCGTTATATTGTAGACAAAGAGAGAGCCAGTCCAGTAAAATGATCCTGGGGCTCCCATCACAATTAAATCCTGTAAGAGAAAAAAAAAAAAATCATCATTTAAAAGTTAATCTCACCACCCAAAGCCTCTTCCAGATACACAACATTTTAAGTAAATAGTGAAGGGAATATACTTTTTATATTAAATTTCTGAAATCTGAGAATATTGTGAATTTAAAACATATAAGATAAGCTGGTGAATGGACTTCCACCTAAAAGCAGAATTTCAGAGAAGAAACTCTGAAACGCTCGTTTCAAACTTATCAGGGGATTTCTAAAATAGAAGGTAGAATCATTGAACACTAGAGTAAGTTTTTGGGAGAAAACCAGTGTGGTTTCTATTAAAGTAAATCACATCTAGGTAATTCATTAGTACTTATTAAGGAGATAATCTTGTGTTGCCAAAGAGTAAAAAGTGAACTTAATTTATTTCAATTGGCAAAAAGCCACTGATTAGCTTCCTTAACAATGTTAGCTTAAATAAAAACCAGTGCAATTTGGGGCATATTTGAGTATAAATAGGAATTTAGGGAAAAAAAACAGAGGCAAGGTTGGAATGAGCAGGCACTAGTCTGATGAAATATGGAAACCTTTCAGCATTCAGTCTTACTTAGCACATATCTAAACATGCTAAATAGGATTAAATAGCAATCCTGAACTTTCTTTTAAAAAGTCAATTTAAATATAAACTAAAGAAAGTGTTATTTTAAGTATTTTTCTACATAGTAGATAATATTTATGGAAATTGTTGACCCCAGTCTTGATACAACCTGACTTCATAGATTCAGAAAAGATTAATGAATTCATAATGGGTTCTTAAAAGAAACTGGGACACTTGGTGTTTGAGTACAACTGTGACTTTTCACAGTACTTCTTAGAGTGTTAGATAGAAAATAATAGAGTTTGGACGTTTATATGATCTAAGATACAGCTATTAATTTCTTAAATCTCAGGATTCTTAAATTTTCAGAATTTTAATGAAAAATATAGAGACACATACTTCCTTTCCTCTTCAACTAGTAATTATAGATAACATATTTGGATAGAAATTTTCAAAGCCTAAGTTAACAACAAGTACAAAAAATTACTGTAGCTACTTTTGCTTTCCATTAAATTCTTGATGAAAACAAATATTCTTTAATAATAGACTTTTAGTTGGTCTTGTATGGTGCAACCATTCAAATATTAATATTTTTTCAAAATATATGCAAAATACTGAGTGGTGAAAATTAAGTTGGTAATACTCTCAAATTTAAGAGGCATACTATGCTAGATATTACACAATTTTTACCTCAAAGCATAATATCAGATTTCTAAACCTTCTGAAGATAAAAACTTCTATATGTAAACTTTCACAGCAGCTATTTTTTAGACTATTACCTCTGTGTAAAAACTAGATATCCCAGCTTGACACGATGCAAAATTTTCCCCAAACTTTTTCACATAATCTAAAATGAAATATAAAACAATTCAAGACTTCATTTAAAAATAGTTAATCTCCATAATTTTGTTTTTTCTTGCAAATTCTTGCAAATATACCTTTTAAGATCTGTATTTTGCACTCTCATTTTTTTACTAGTAACTTTGATAAAAAATTTTAAGCTTACAAATCTCTTCCACAATAATCTTCAAAATATCCCTATGAAATAGCAATAAAAATACCTACACTTGCCTATTTTTCACAGGAAGAACATACAGTACACACTCAAAAAATTTTGTCAAGCGAGTACCCAAGATAGAGAAAGGATTTTCTAACTTCCAGTCCATTTAAAATAGGCTTTCTAGATTTTTCTCAGACTGAATCAAGGATCTGCATGGCGATGTAAGCTCTCTAATTACAGGGTCCTAATGAATGAATGCTTTTAGAACTTAATAAGAGGACAAAGCTTTGCTTCACCTGTCGAATTGACCTATATAAGCCTCTATGAAAATATCACGGACCACATCTTCCTTTTGATTTTGCCAATCACAAAACTTAAATTTAAAGCTTAAATAAACTGCTAAGTCATTTACAATTAACTATTCCGTTGTTTTTCACTCTTCTCATCTCTTCCCTGATGCTTTTTTTTCCCCATAAATTTTACTATATTGTAGGTCTCTTTGGTTTATGCCATCTTGAATTTTTTTTTTAGTAGAATGTGGCTAGGTATATCTGAGCAAAAATAAAAACTATACTGTGAAAATGTTTTAAACTGTAAATTGTAAACCATTAGGAAAAAAAGTATAATAAATATAGAGAACTCTAGACTGAGTTTTATTGCAATTGAAGATTAAAAATTCATATTTTATCTTCTTGGCATCCAAAGGCAAAACAGAAATATATATATATGATATAAACTTCTCTGTCACCCCACATTCCAGGGGTAAAGACCTCAATATTAATATCAATAACTGAATTGACATACTTAGCCAAGTTCTGCAGCTAATACGAATTTTCTTTGGCCTCCAGGGTAATCATTTTAGTTAGAATAATTGAAAACAGGAGTTTACATACATTTAATTCTTAGTTTTCCAAGGACATATATTTAGAATTTCTGTTCAGTTATAGATATCATTTTTAACTTTCTGTTGACACTGACCCCCAACTTTGCTCAAATCAGTCATTTGTTTATGTCTCAGCTCTGTTCTCTCTGATGCTATCTATTGCCTAGAATTTTTAAGGAAAAGATCTTTCTGACTTAACACACCAATCCCTTGCTGTTTCAAGGAACACATGAATTTGAAAAAATGATAGTAAGTAGAAAAGATTTGTTTACACTTATATTTGAATTTTCTGAATATTCCTGGAAGGTTAAGGTAAAGCAAGAAACCTTAAGTTTTCTTCTTTCTAATCAAACTTTTGAATGTAATTTCATGATTTTAAGTATTTTATATTCGTTAAGCATTAGTTCCACTTATAATTGAAAGTAAATTGAATTGAAAGTAAATTTAATACTAAAGTGGGTAATTATCAACTAGATTCCAGAATTACTCAAATTGAACTATAGAATTTCTATTCCTAGTAGCACACATTTCATTTATGAAAATGAATGCCACTACAATTGGATTTTTAAAAAAAAGTAAAGGAAGGAATACTTTGAGTAGTTAAAAAGAACATAGTTATTTCAAAGATCTCCTTTTCTGTCTCTGAACCTCCACAATTGAAAAAAGAAAAAAACTTAAAGGCATTAACTTGTATCTCTTGATCCAATTAACATCAAAATCATTTCTTACCTTGATAACATGGAGCTATTCTTTTACTCAGTTCTGTTCGTAAATCAGAGGGCATTCCGTAGCAAACACCAGTAGGGAGCTTATTTTCATTTTTTATGTAAAATATATTTTTCCATCTATGACCACAAGTCTGAATAAAACACAAAAGTAGACTAAATGATGTGAAAGTCACGCCCAGAATGTCTGATTTCACGATGTTAACAGGGGACCAATTCCAATACCTACCACAATCGATCCATTTTCTCCGGGCTGTCTAGAAAGTGTGACCCCCAACCACTGATTGTCTCTCTCTTCCAAGCAAGTCTTTCCGCAAGGCTCTCCATTTGGGCTGCCTACAGCATTTGAAAATAATTTTACCATCAGTTATCTTTAAAAACAATGCTCTTCTAAAAGAGCAGAGAAAATAAATGAATGCTCATCCCCATGGTTTTTCCTTTAGACACGTGCGTAATGCCCTCGCTCCCTGCTTCTCCATCATCTTAAATTCAGTGCACAATAACAGGGCAATTGTGAGTTACTTTGTGCCAACATAATTGTTCTCTCCTACAAGGTGATTTCTGTTTGTAGAAATGATCTCTGATTGGTAACTACGTGAAGAAATGACCTCAGTCATCAACGGACAAATGGATAAACAAATTATGGTATATTCACACAATGGAATACTACTCAATGATAAAGAACAACGAAGAAGCCGTGAAACATAACATGGAGGAATCTGGCGGGCGTTATGCTGAGTGAATTTAGTCAGTCACAGAAGGACAGATATTGAGTAAGACCACTATTATAAGAACTCAAGAAAAGGTTTCAACACAGAAGAAAACATTCTTTAATGGTTAAGAGGGTGGGGAAGGAGGATGAGGGTTGTTTACTAACTAGATAGTAGATAAAAATTATCTTAGGTGAAGGGAAGGACAGCACACACTACAGATGAAGTCAGCACAACTAGACTAAACCAAAGCTAAGAAGTTTCCTGAAAACAATCAAACACTTCAAGGGACAGAGTAGCAGGGGTAGGGGTCTGGGGACCATGCTTTCAGGGGGCATCTAGGTCAATTGGCATACCAAAGCTTATTAAGAAAATGTTCTGCATCCTACTTTGGTGAGTGGCTTCTGGGGTCTTAAAAGCTTGCAAGCGGCCATCTAAGATGCATCAATTGGTCCCAACCACCTGGAGTAAAGCAGAATGAAGAACACCAAAGACACAAGGAAAGTATTAGCCCAAAAGACAGAAAGGGCCACATAAACCAGAGACTTCATCAGCCTGAGATCAGAAGAACTAGATGGTGCCTGGCTACTATCATTGACCACCCCGACAGGGAACACAACAGAGAGTCCCTGATGAGGTAGGAGAAAAGTGGGGTGCAGAACTCAAATTCTAGTAAGAAGACCAGACTTAATGGTCTGACTGAGACTGGAGGCACCCCAGAAAGCATGGCCCCCGGATTCTCTATCAGCCCAGAAGTAAAACAATTTTGAAGGCCAACTCTTCAGACAGGGATGGGGCTGGACTGTGGGAGATAAAGTGATACTCATGAGGAGTGTGCCTCTTAGCTTAAGTAGCTACATAAGACTAAATGGCAGCTTCTGTCCAGAGGTGAGATGGGAAGGCAGACAGGGTTAGGAGCTAGTTGAATGGACATGGGGAATCAGGGGTGGAAAGGAGGAATGTGCTGTCACAATATGGGGAGAGCAATTAGGGTCACATAACAATGCATGTATAAATTTTTGTATAGGAGACTAACTTGAAATGTAAACTTCATTTAAACTACAACAATAAACAAACAAAAAAAGAAATGGCCTCAGTGACGCAGTGATAACCAGTATGACCAGGAAGGGAGAAGACAAGTTAAAACCAGCATGAGTGGTCCAAATAGGATTGTAGTGTCTAATGCTTGGAAAAGAATGTACATCTTTGTTTTGACCCTTTATTTAGCAATGTAAGCAATATTACCAGAGTATCTTTTCAAAAGTTTCTTGTACTGAAACATTAAAAACAGAAAAACTGAACAAATATTTTCCCATTAAAGTTAGTACACATATTGCTTTATGACAATCATTTACAACCCCACGACATGTCAACACTGTCCCTTCTCAACATTGGGTTCCCTATTACCAGTTTTCTTGTCCCCTTCTGCCTTCTAGTCCTTGTCACTGGACTGCTGTGCCTCATTAGTCCCGTTTTGTTTTATGGGGCTGTCCAATCCCCGGCTGAACAGTGAACCTCAGCAGTGACTTCACCACTGAGCTAAAAGGGTGTCAGGGGCCATACTCTCAGGGTTTCTCCAGTCTCTGTCAGGCCAGTAAATATGGTCTTTTTTTGTGTGTTAGAATTTTGTTCTACATCCTTCTCCAGCTCTGTCCAGAACCCTCTGTTGTGATCCCGCTCAGAGCAGTCAGTGGTGGTAGCCGGGTACCATCTGGCTGTACTGGACACATTTTGGTGGAGGCCTTGGTAGCTGTAGCCCATTAGTCCTTTGGACTAATCTTTTCCTCGTATCCTGTTCTGTTCATTCTCCCTTCCTCCCGAAGGGGTGAGACCACTGTTGTATCTTAGATTGCCGCTCACAGGCTTTTAAGACCCCAGACAGACGCTACTCCGACCAAGGTAGAAGGTAGAACATTTTCTTTACAAACTGTGTTATGCCAATTGAGCTAGATGTTACCTGAGACCATGGTGCCCACAGCCCTCCCCCCAGCAATTCAGTCCCTCAGGGAGTTTGGATGTGTCTATGGAGCTTCCATGACCTTTCCTTGTACTATTTGTTTTGTAAAGCTTCATCTAAAGTACAGGGGGGAAAAAAAAAGAAAGAATTATCTATGTGAGATCAAATTGACAACAGCAACTCAAAAGGTTTGGTGGGAAGCGTAGGGGACAGTGAGTTGAAGATAATGGTGATGGAATAATTTGGAAAAGGATAGTGAGAATAGCAGCACAACTGGAAGAACGTAATCGATGTCACTGCATTGTACATGTAGAAACTTTTGAAATGGTGTATCTTTGGCTATGTATATTTTCACCAAAAAAAAAAAAAAGATCCTCCAAGGTCGAGAAGGGAGAGTGTTGATATGTCGTGGGGTTGTTAACCAATGTCATAAAACAATATGTGTACTGACTGTTTAATGAGAAACTATTTGTTCTACAAACCTTCATCTAAAGTACAATAAAAAAAAATTTTAAAAAAAGAAAGTTATCTTTTGTTTTGCTAGTTGCTGAGAGGTACATCATACTGAAAGTACTGGTTTTAAAATAAAATACAGGTGACATAATTTAATAAAGATCAACAATTTTTTTTATAAAAAGAAAAAGAACAGAAAAACTACTATATGGTCTTCAGCAATTAAGGCACAGTTTATTAGAGCTGGAAGGTGATGGCTGAACATGTAGAAAGTGTACTGTACCGTGAGAACAGTAATAATGCCTAATACTTAAAACAAACTGCCCTATATTTTACATTTAATGGATTGTGACTTATGTTTTCAACAAACAAACAAACAAAAAAGACTTGAAACACTAGATCATTTCAGCAGTAAATTAAACGAACAAACAAACTTCACTAGGCATTTTGGCAAATACACGACTATCCAGAAAGCCAATCATTAAGTAAAATATTACCCAGGCACAAAATAGCACTTCTAAGCTGTACATTAAGAAGTGATCTTCATGGTGTTAATTTTTTTTCTTTTGTTAGAGTTATTGTTTTCTAGAAGAGATCCCATATTAAAGTGATTTGAAATAAATGATTTTTAGGGAGAATAGATACAACTATGGATAACATTCCTTTTGCTGTCTTCTCCTCCCCCCCATCTTCAATTGCCACTTGACAATTCTGTTTCAGCTCTGCCTTACTTCCAAAGGCAGGTAGGTAGGTTAGCATCAATTTGGTTAGGTAAGGATGCGGAATTTGAGTTTGTTTACTCAGTTGTGAACACTGGTCACTGAGTACTAAGTCTCGGTAAATTCAGAGCTACTGTTCTCTGAATCTTTAGGCACTGTGTCTCCTCCTATGACCTTGACCCCTAGATTAAGCTTCTTGAACACACTCAGAATGCCTACATAGACAAGGCTCATATTTTGAAAGTGAAATTATATGAATTTATTCTCCTGGGGAGTAGAGATTTTGTTTTAGGAATGTGGGAAGATGTTTGTGGATACATTTGTTTCCAAAATGTTTTTCAGGAAAAACAGCAAAACCCTTAAACACAGCTGAACTGAGAAAAGGCAGAGAACTAAAAATCCAACCACATGGAACAAAAGCACGCATCACAAAGCTATAGCTGCATAAGTAATAGAGGTGAATAGCCCTGGAACTTTGTTTATAAACAAATCTTCATTAACAATTTGTTGCTCTGCTTGTTTTTCAACTCACTTTATTTGAATTTCTATTTTATGGGCCTTAAATAATTCACTTAAAATAGCATGGCCAGTGTTGCCCATACTCTACTAATGGTTAAGAATCACCTGGGGCACACGTCAAAAATACAGATTCCTCGCCTTTCCTCTTGAAATTCTGCTTCAGTGTGTGCAGGTGAGGCCCTAGCTGTCCAGCTGATTCTTAGGGTCAGGAAGTCTGTTACAATGGAATGTGGAAAATATTTATCCGGCCAGGTTTAACGCATAATGGCAACTTCCACCAATTAGTAGTGGCTGCCTAGAAGGCTAGACTGAAAGCAGGAAGACTATGTCTGGAAAAAGAGTGCTGGCATTGATTAGTAATGTCTGCTCTTGGCATGGGAAGCGAGTCTTGCTACAGCCCAAACCCTGATATGTATCTAGGTGGTGGAAACAATCTAGGTGGTGGGAACATAAAGTCTGTGTTAAAATTAATAAAGAAAGGAAGAGACAGACAGAGAGAGAGAGAGGAAAGAAAGAGAAAGAGAGACAAAAAGAATGGTATTGTGTGTGTTGGGCAGTTAAGACGTAACATAGGAAGTTATTATTGTGTCCACATGATGCCAACATAATTAAAGAAAAGTGAAAGAGAATGAAAAGCAAGAAATTTTCATTTTTAATACAATGCAATTTTCAGTTTGACTTTTTATGAAAATTTCCAGCTTTTTTTTTTTTTTACTAATGTCAAAAATAGATGATAAAGTTCACATTATTTACCACAATAGACACTCTAATGAAATATCTTCTCGGAAAATACCAGTCTTTCTAAAATTACAGTCAGTTAGTTAGTTAAGGCAATTGAGAAGGAGAAAGATTAAGGGGAAGATGGAGGTTGCAAATCACACATTATCTCGGTTAAAATGAGGTTCATTTAATTGACACTTCTGTTAACATTTAGGCACCTGGGTGGTACAAATGGTCTGCACTCCACTACCAACTGTG